CATCTCTATGATAATCCATGGGTAAAAATGCCCAGTAAAATGGGGTATTTCCATGAGATAATCATGCCACATTTAAGGCAATGGGAATCTTTCCACACCCATTCACGCCATGCTAGATAGGAGAGAAAAAAGGTAGCAACAAACGTAAACGTACATCAGATGCAAGAGATGGCCTGACCAAAATTCACCCTTCAGAGATTTGCTTCCTGGGAGGCTGATGTCCTGAAGTCAGTTGCAACCTGCTTCTCCTCTGACATGGCCACCTGCCAAAAGGCAAAGAGTCTGAGGACCCTCCCTATGTTAGCTCCCTACTTTTACCCCCACCCACTCTCCTTTCATTTTAATCGTTTAAAATCATTTAATCTCCAGGTCGTTTTAAGCCTTCTCTCCTTTTCCACTGAGCTCCAGGTTATAAGTTTACAAGCAGGCCCAGAGCCCAAACTTAACACAGCTCACAGCTGGGAAGGAAGGAGATAAAATCTGAAGAGTCCTAATGCTGCTGTTTCTACTGGATCTCCAAGCCTGCATCCCTAACTGAGATAGGATCATCATTTTGTTCTTGGGACATCTTCCCTTAACCCTTTGGTCTGCCTTTATTATTAGTGCTGCACCAAGTCTGCATACTCATTTTGACATCTACTGTCTACTCTTTAGTTACTTGTTAGGCTTTTCAGGCCATCTGCCTCCATCTTTCCCTCCAAAGCCTTTGCCCTGGGTCAGGATGGCCCTCTAACTCTGTGTCATGGAGAAGGAGAGCAATAAAACACTGGGCAGGAGTGGGGAATGGAGGATGGGGGCTGGGGGCTTTAGACATAATTTACTTGAAAACTGCTGAGAGGGTAAACGGGAGTTCTGAGATATCCTCAGATGGAAGAACATGGATTCCAGGAGTCTCAAACTTCATAACATGCTGGGTGTGCCTTGAAGTTAGAGAGGCAGGGGACTGATGTACCTGTCACTGATTTCATTAGTATGTGGAAAACATGAGCTTTTCCTAAGGTAAGGGATGCCGGGTGGGGCTGGAGTTGGGGCAGCACAGCTGGGATGCTGAACCTTACAAAAGCATGGTATGGGACTGCCTCCTGCTAGTGCTCTTGAGTGTGGCCAAGATTTAGTGTCCTTCCTTTCAGCTGAGCAAAGGAGGGAGGGAGTTAGTTTCCTCCTCCTGCAGGGCAGTCTGTCACCCACTTATGACCGACCCCTGGAAATATGGATGGCTACCAGTGTTATTCATGTGAAAAATCTCAGGACAGTGGAACTGCTAACAGGCAATGCTGCTTGTGGGGCCTTGGCTCCTGCTTCAGAGATCTTGTCCACTCTCCCCTTGGGTTCCTCGAGGCCCACCTACCAACCCTATCCCTTCCACCCAAAGCTCCTGACAGAAGGTCTGGGTAAGCACCACAAGCCTTCATCTCTCGGGAATGATACCATTCTCAATTCCAGACTACTTCACCACTAACCCTACAAAGACTTCGGGGAATTAGCTAGAAAAAACTCCCATACGGTGTGAGACACTTCCAGTGGGTTGGTTCCATAAGGTTGCAGCCTCTGTGTCAGCATACATACAGGGATCCTTCCCCTGCCCTCATTACATATGCACAGACACACAGACTCACAAACACACACACACACACACTCTCTCTCACTCCTCTATTCTCTCCCATGTGTGTCTGTGTCTGTGTCTGTGGTGTCTGTGTGTCTCCGTCTCCCTTTACTGCTCTCTCTCTCACACACACACATAAACACACAGATTTTGAGGCAGGATCAAGACATTCAATTTACACATGAAACACACACACACACACACACACACACTAGAGAGAGAGAGAGAGAGAGAGAGAGAGAGAGAGAGAGAGAGAGAGAGAGAGAGAGAGAAAGAGAGAGAAAGATCTACCACCCTTCTTAACTCTTCCTGTTGTTGAGTCTTTGAAATGTAAATATCAAGGAACAAAGGATCTCAGAGTCCCCAGGTCAGTAGGAAGTGCCCAGTAAACAACACCTGCTAATTTCACAGATGAAGAGACAACTCCTTTACTTAAATTAATAAGATTATCGTGGTTTCATGTTTTGTTACTATGATAACATATTCTGATATACTGGTCCATTTTCTTTCAAAAGGAAAAAAATAATATTGATATTGTTTGAGAGTTTAAATATATTCTTTTTGGAAATTATTTACAGTGTAGTTTTATCCTATCTAGCTTGCATTTTCGTTGAAATCTCATGCAGTTTGCTCCCAACTCCCTTCCATAACACAAGTTGTTCCTGTACAAATCTCTTTGTTTCGCTATAACCTCAAGAGTTAGGCAGCAGAACAAAAGAGTGTTGCAGGTCCTTTTTAGCTGTGCCTGTTCTGTGGGTCCCTTTTACACCATTGGTCTGAAAGTTTCTCCCAGATATTGGCACTGTAGTCAGTTGCCAGGTTTGTACTTCTTGGTATAACCCAGAAAAAGTTCAGAGCAGGAAGTATCAATGAAGAGATGCCCAAAAAAAGGAGCAAAATCTCTCCAACTCCAAAAATTTAGCTGCCAATTCCACTTTTCACTGCAAAGAGGACAGTGTGATAGGCTGTCTGGAGAAAAGGCCTGAAATTCTAGACAGAGAGCTGCCTCCAAAGTTCACGCCAGGATTAACTGGAAAGATTCCATGGCAACAGGTCCACAAGGGAGGAGGAGGAAGATAATTCCTAAGTAGGTCCAGGTGAGAAAGAGGAAATCTTTGGATAGCTAGAGGAATCATTGAGATCATTGCCCTTTATCTACATCTCTTTGTGAAAGGGTTTCTGATCAAGGAGTACCTTGGTGATGGGGGTCCCAGGAATGCCACAATGATCACACCATGCAACAGACCTCACACAACTGAGAAATGGCTAACTCTGAGTCGGGGTAGAGACAGTGGAAGACCAGAGAGCAAGCCTTATGGGGGTGTTGGGATATGGAGCATGCACCTAGGGAAAATTCAGGTAAGGCGGGGACAGTGGAAATGTGTCACATTGGCCCTCAGTGATGGGAAGGCATTGTTGCTGAGTCATTGAAGGCAGGGTAACGGGGTGGGTAACACCTGATTCTGGAATGTGGACAGTTCTCTAGTTAGCTAACACTTAGCATATATAATTCACACAAAGGAGAGAAGTCACAAAAAGTGATGGAGAATTCATGCAGAAACTTTCCAGAGAAAGATACACAGGTATCCCCTAGGAGAGATATATTTTCACTCATTTGAGTTAAAAATCTATTCAAAGACTTATGGAACCTTATTTGAGTTCATAGACATTGAAACAGTGCTGGAACACACCCATAAAACCCAATTACCAGGTGGTGGTGGCAGAGGCAGGTGGATCTCTGAGTTCCAGGCCAGCCTGCCCTACAAAAGACATTCCAGGACAGTAAAGGCTACACAGAGAAACCTGTCTCACAAGACCAAACCAAACGAACAGAACCCCATGAGTTAGAAGCATAGTAGTGCCACTGACTGTTTCATTGAATTCTAGAGAGCAATCTAATAATTTATGTACACAATCAATGCCAATAATTTAGTGTTTACACTAGATGCTTTGAAAGTGGAGTAAAGCTCACAGGTTTTAAGACCATTTCAAACACTCTTTTCGATTCAAAGTGCTCAAAATATCCCAAGGTTCTCTGGATAATATTCCATGTTGTATTATAGCTAGTGTTACAGCAGGTCACCGCATAGGCTCAGTGTCTGTTGTTTTCTTCCAACCAATGCTTTAGAGGTATGTCTGACTTACAGTCAGTCATTCAAATGTGATTGGGCAAGACTGTATTGTGCAACATAAATTATAATGAGGAAAGCATTCTGCGGGATTACGCTGATGAAAATGGAAGAGCTAATTTAAGTTCTGGGTATAAACCTTTAGAAGCCTGGAGTTAACCACAACCTATGGTTCCTGGAGGTTCCCAGAGGAAACATTTGCAGGGGATCCTGTGCACAGAGTCTTCATTTTTGTTTTAAGCTTGTTTATTATAACCAGACAGGGGTACTTCAAACCTCCTTAGCTTAAAATCTGCCAGTTGAGTGAATGGGCAAATGTCATGCACCACTCACTCCCCACATCCCGGTCCCCTCGTTACACCTTTTGTATCAGTCCAGTCACTTTATATGCATGGAGTCTTGAAGTGTTAGTACATTCAACTACTTGGCCTGTATAGCTTGTTCCCGTGCCCATTCCATTTCTGATGCTTAACCGGACCCTGAAAATACAGCTTTGGTCTGTAATGCTTTTGTACAAAACCTTTCATTTTATAAAACAATTTGATGTTTAAAGACAGATAATATTCAAAAGAGAAGCAGAATGTGACTTCACATGAATGAACAGACGTAAAAGCTTTATTTTGTCAAAAGGTGTTATAAAGCTCTCACGGCGTAGTTCGTAGGCATGGAGTAAGATGATGAAAAGAAGGAAGTCTCAGCTTTCCACAGTGGGGAGGAGAACTGAAAAAGAGACTCGAAAGACAGCTTTACATTATCACACTTTACTTATGTATGATATACAGGGACCCTGCAAAACAGTTAGATGCATTTGGTCTACAAAGGAGTGCTTAGCATGCTCAAAGAGGCACAAGCTGGGTTTTTGTTTGTTTGTTTGTTTGTTTGTTTGTTTGTTTGTTTCTTTCTTTCTTTCTTTCTTTCTTTCTTTCTTTCGTTTCATTTTACCACAGGTGTAAGTTGTATGTGTTTCTCATAGATGTACCCATGGAAGAGCGATAGGTAAAACATAGTTTCCGCAGTGATGAAAGTCTTGTCTGTTTAACAGTCTTAAAGATAGGCGCAAGCTGTTCTAAGCATTCTCCTTCATTACACACGACACATCTTTACACACCTCGTTTGCGGACCCAAATAGAAAGGAGCAGGGCCTTTATTATGAGAGGAGGGAAATCCTTATCTCAGGCTGTAAATTATAGCAAGAGGGAGTATTGACATGCATCCCAGCAGAAGCCAGTGTCATGAGATTGCCACAGGGTCTTACCGAGATGCTGTAGCTATGCTGTTTTGTTCACTGGTGATGTCAGTTGGTAGAAAGGAGCTGTGGCTACTGTTGCTGCTGCTGTTGCTGCTGCTGCTGCTGCTACAGCTGCACTTCCTCCTGCTGCTGCTGCTGCTGCTGCTACAGCTGCACTTCCTCCTGCTGCTGCTGCACAGGTCCGGTGCTGAAAGGGGATGTCCCCAGGCTGTAAATAGCTTAGCTGGCTCTTGGAGGACAGCTGTGCAGCCCTAGTCCAGTCCTCTCTGTATATGAATGTGCACTGGTACTTGTTCCCTGGCATCAAGTTGTATAGTTTTCTTGAAGAGGCATCTGCAGGCAACAAAGTGCCCAATCTCTGAGGCTCTTTAGCTCTCCAGTGAGGCCGATACTTATAGTTCGGGTATTTCTTTCTGTGTAGGGTCTGCAGTCTCTGTGCCTCTTGGAAAAATGGCATTTTTTCGGCTTCTGTAAGGCGTTTCCACTGGTATCCCAGTTGCTTGCTGATCTCTGTGTTTTGCATGCTGGGGTTCTCCAGGGCCAACTTGCGCCTCTGACCACGAGACCACAGCATAAATGCATTCATGGGGCGCTTGACATGGCCTTCTATGCCCTCTTTATGACTGCCATCCGTGCCAAAGGATATCTTTTCTCCAGAGCCGATGATATCCTGAGGCTGTAAGCGAGGACTGCAGTAATCATGATTCAATATGCTGAACATTGTGGATGAGTTATATTGTAACCAAAAAGAGAGAGAGAGAGAGAGAGAGAGAGAGAGAGAGAGAGAGAGAGAGAGAGAGAGAGAGAACACTAGGTGTAGGAGCAGTAGGGGTGGGGAGAAAAAAGCCAAAAGTTAAAGTGTAAGAGCTGAAAGTTACTATCCAATATGTGTTTGTCACAAAGATTTTGTTATTTAAAGTCTGTAACAAAATATCCATGTCTCCACCCTCAGCAGCTCCCTTAGACTAGCCCCACCTATTGTGCCATGTCAGCACCTGTAGAACCACCCATTATCGAGCAAACCACTCCAATACGGGGACTGTTAGATGCTGTACTTCTACACTCCCTAACAATGCATCTTTTCTCACTCATTTTTTCCCCATCCAGACTGAGGGGACAACAAGGGGCATATTAGTGAACGTTTTTGTCCTGCAATGCAATTGATTTTCATGATGGACTAACATGAGAAACTAAAAAATTAAAGAAAACCACTGGGGACAGTGGAAAGGATAAGCACAAATCAATCATTTGTATTTTGGTCCTATAAGAAAGTTTAACACTGAAAACATAAATAAATAGTATAACCTGGTTCCATAGTCCAATATAAATATGGGTGCTATGCTAGGGGCAAAACCCAGTAGCAGAACATGTGCTGAATTTTGAAGCCAGGAAAAGCTGTGTTATGTTTTCTCTAAGGTTTACCTGGGAACTTGTAAGGCCTGATGGCTTTGCAGTGTGGACACAGGTAATATTAGTTTCTTTGATCACCGTTCATGAGTAAGAGTTTCATCCTTCTCTTAATAATGTAATGTAACACAGCACCTTCAAAGCTCAGCAATGTCTGTCTTCAGAGCTCCAGTGTTGCCTGCTTAAAGCAATTACAGCTGGACTTGTTAAATATTAATATTTCTTCAAATAAGGAGGAGACAGAGAAGAGCATTGGACCTTCACCTATGCATCCCTTCACTCCTCCCAGCTGGTTGTAGGTGATTAGGCCCTAATTCTATGAGATCGCAAGGTCTTCTGAGTGTAATAGAGACTAAATACTAAAAATGAGGAGGAGGTCCACCTACACAGCTTTGTGAAGCCATTGTTTAAAAGGTATTATAAAACGGCCAAGGCCCAGATATTGCCAAACATCTCTCCTCTCCTAAAAACAAAGTATGCTTTACTTATTACTTTTATGTCTCGTGGCATTTTTAAATCAAAAGGAACAATACAGACACATACACACACACACAGACATATATACACACACTATAATCAGGTCAATCTCATACACACACACACACACACACACACACACACATACACACACACACTGAAATGGCTAAATATTGGCCAGGCCTTGGTGACTCACGCCTTTAATCCCAGTACTGGAGAAGCAGAGGCAGGCGGATCTCAGTGAGTTCAAGGCCAGCGTGGTCTAAAAGAGCTAGTTCCAGGAAAGGAAGAAAGAAAAGAAAGAAAGAAAGAAAGAAAGAAAGAAAGAAAGAAAGAAAGAAAGAAAGAAAGAGAAAGAAAGAAAGAAAAGAGAAAATATGGCTATAGGTGTTGGTTCTCTGAATACCATACCTGTGTTTTGGTTCTCATTAACCAGACAGCTACAACAAAATAGTAAATACTTAAATGTCAAATCCAGGTAATCTTATTTGCTACCACCAGCCATATATAGATTCTGAAAGATATAACGGTGTATCTTCATGTTGACAAAATATGACGTAATGATGTATGTCTATTCACTTATGTCTTTGTTAACTTTGTCAAATTTAACTACTCTGTGACTCCGAGTCACATAAAAATTACGAAACTGTGATAGTTTATAAAAGCATACTTTTATAAAAGGGTTCTTAAAATGAGATTCCCAGTCTCTGGATGGCCTGTATCTATGACTTAAAGTTTATCTTGATACTAAAAGAGCTTCAATACAAGTTTAAAAATTTTTAAGACTCAAAGAGCACAAAGTTATAAAATTCTAATTTATGATGGTTACTTGCTGTAAGCTCTTGAAGATTATTAAGCCATATGTGTTAATGGCCAGTCTCCTTAAAAATTATCAAATTCTCTAACGTATGCAGAACTAGGTTTGTTGTCAAGCTAATGGAAATGTGATTCGTTGACAGAGACAAGCTTGAAAGGAGGGACCATTTCTGTCTCCCATTATGTAGACTTCTGTGTAGGTTGTCAAAGTAAATATCCTGAAACAAGTATCTCAAGACAAGATTAAAGTAACTTAAACTTTCTTTCATGTAAAATAATACTCAAAATCACGTATACTAAAAGCAAAGCCAAACCTAGCTATTGAAAATAAAAATGAATGTTTGAGTAAAATAGACTACCTTTATAAGATACTTGCATGACAGGATGTCCCTAAGACCCAAGTACTTCCACTGGATGGAGCACGATCCCACCAGAGTCAATTGCATGTAAGCCTCATCACAGGATACGGGGGCACTGGAAAAATAAGATCTACCAGAAGCCTGTTGCTGCTGTCTCTGTCTATATAAACATGACCAGTTCTGTCTGTGTAGGCTTGGCCAGCTCTTGCCCTGTGGAGGATCTTGCCCCCACAGAGTCTACAAGTCTACACCCATATCCTAAATGCCTCAAACAACAGAGACAAATACCAACTACTCTGATCTTACTGTCTCCCATACTGAAATGCCAGGATGCTGCGAACAGAAGAACCTGGTACCTAGCCCACCACCTGACAGGTGCGAGACCTGCGTGCCCTCTACTCTAGGTTTCAGTTCTTCCTGTTAACAAAAACTAATTCCAGGGTCGACTCCCTTACCACCCATGTTCCGTGATTAGGGGGTAATGATTCAGACTATCCAAGTGATCTCCTTGGAAATCCAATGAAAAATGACTCAGTAGGATTCTACTTCTCTTTTAAATTGCCAATTAGGTACTGAATTTAATGGACTTGTTTTTAAAAAGGCCTCCAGGTGTTTGTTCCTTATCTGTGGGTCTGATGCAACAAACAGCTGACTACAGTTATTTTATCCTGCTATAGGACTCTGCTACGTTGTCTAACCAGTTGTACTTTACCTTACTAAACAAAACCTATGTTGCCTTTACTCTTAATGATATCCCACAAGGTTGTACAGTTACTGCCACCCGGCTTGTGTTCTTTACCATCTGTTGAGTTTTATTGTGGCCCTTGGATAAACCATCCTCTGAGGCACTCTCACTGCTGTCCTTTCTACATTGTCCCTTTTGTCAGCTCAGAAAGAATTCTGCATTCTAAACTTCTAAGAACATTTCAGGTGATCTCTGAGGGGAGGTATCCAACTTATCCCACTTGTCGCCATGCTGCACATTGCTTTTGGGACCAAAGCAGAACCAAAGCAGCTGGCCAGTAGCCTCAAAAAAAAAATCTGTTCACTTCTCTGCTTCATCAGCTCTCAAAAACCCTAGAGAAATTTCAGATCAGCTTACCATCCTTCAGAACCAACTTGTTTCTTTGGCTGCTGCAACACCTACCCCAAGGCTAGACCTGATTGCTGCTAAAGAGAGGATCTGTGTCCTCCTCTTCCAAAGATGCTTCTTTTGCACCAACAAGTCCTAACTGGTTTGAGATGAGTCCCAAAGACACAGGGACCAGCAAAAATCTAATCCTCCTTCCAGTTCGGGATTTTAGTTTCGTCCCACTGGAGATCCTCTGCTGGTCACTCCTTTCCTCCTTATTATCCACAAACTCACATTTTAACCCTGCCTTTTAATTACTGAATTTCCCCTTGTACCCATACAGAGATTCCATGTAAGTTCTCCCAGTGGCTCTCATCCCACAACAGCCACCTGTGCAACAACAATAGGAACCTCACGCGTAAAACGTACCAATCAGGTTAAGGGAGACCTGGTCTTGGTACAGCAAAGCATAGTCACTCAGTAGATTCCCTGGCTGCAGTGTTCTGCCAGTCACAGAGGACTGGACTTAATAACTACCAAAAAGGAAGGCATCTGTGCCTTTCATGGGGAGAATGCTCTTTGTATGCAACCCAGTCTGGGTGAGTACCAGAAACACTAAATGGCTATTAAAAAGATTTAAAACTGTAAAGATTCCTCTGTTGACAGTTCTATGTTTAGGTCTGTACTCCATTTCTTATTGGATTATTTGTTCCTTTGATAACCAATTTCTTGAGTTCTTTGTATATTTTGGAGATCAGACCTCTGTCTGATGTGGGGTTAGTGAAGATTTTTTTTTCCCAATTCTGTAGGCTGTCATCATGTCCTGTGCTTTACTGAAGCTTTGTAGTTTCAGGAGGTCCCATTTATTGTTTCTCTCAGCGTCTGTGCTACTGGAGTTATATTTAAGGAGTGGTATCCTGTGCGTTCACTTTCTTTTCTAAGAGGTTCAGTGTGGCTGGATTTATGTCGAAGTCTTTGATCCATTTGGACTTGAGTTTTGTGCATGGTGATAGATATGGGTCTATTTTCATTCTTCTATGTGTTTACATCCAGTTATGCCAGCACCATTTGTTAAATATGCTTTCTTTTTTCCATCTGATATATTTTGCTTCTTGGTCTAAAATCAGGTGTTGAAGGTGTATGGATTAATATCTGGGTCTTTGATTCCCTTCCATTGGTCCTCCTGTCTATTTTTATGCCATTACCAGGCTGTTTTTAGTACTTTAGCTCTGTAGTAGAGTTTGAAGTCAGGGATTGTGATGCCTCCAGAAGTTCTTTTATTGTGCAGGATTGTTTTGCCTGAAGTTCCATAATTTTTTTGTAGTTTCTATTGCTGTTATGATTCAGTTGTTGTGGCATCTTCTTCAGTTAATTGATGTTCCAGATAACAGGTTCTATAACTAATCTACTTCTGTGGGTTGAATGCTGTCTGTAGCAAATATCACTATCAATAATTCAAATAATAAATTAGAAGATTACTATGAATAAGATACTTGTTAAGTAATAATACTATTAATGAATAAAAGTTTTAATGACACTATATATAATAATACATTAGTTTGATTGGAAAGGAAAATAACTTAAATAAGT